AAGCTGATTAAAAAGTATAGCTGTCTATCGGTTCTATTGTAGATTATCAAGGTATCGTTAAAATATCGAAGCCAGATCCTAGGTTTACGAATTGCCCCATCTACAGCGTAAGTTTCAAACCATTCCATGTTTATATTCCCTACCACCCGGGTGAGAGAGAAACTCATCGGTATGCCATCTTAGGCGTAAAACTTATCTTTGACTTATTATCTAGCCTGGACAATGTCTAACGATTCCACCAAGGGCACGCTGGTGTATAAATTTTTCGCGTCAAAGCTAACAAACTTGTCTGAAAGACATAATCTTACATTTTTTAAAATATCTACCAACTGTGGGGAGGTCTTTACAGATTAAGGAATTTGTCAATGTATTACTCAAAGGTAGAAACATCGAATCAACAGCCACAGTGTAGCCACCAAAGACCCTGTGAATGTGGTGAGTGATATCGCAGAAATGAAAAGATCTTTAAACTAAACCTACAGCGGGTCTTTGACGTCATTTCATTTTTTGTTAACATGGGTAATAATTTTTGAAATAAGGAACTATCTATCTAAACGTTAGAATTGAAGAACATAAGGAACACAAAATAAGGGGTGAAAAAAAGGCCAACATTAAGGAAGCTGAATTAATTAAAAACAAGGGTAACATTTTTAGCAATCTCAGCGTGGAAATACCTGCAATCTGTCCACCCTTAATAGTTCCGATCATGATTGTGTCCTAGCGGAACGACCTCACGCTTGACTGCAACAGACTCTGTCACGGACGAACGCTGTAGTCTAGTATATAAGCCTCATAGCGTAAAGACACTAGAAATTGGACATTCTCTTCTACTTCTCTTACCACCTTCAAGCAAATATTTGAGAACCGGTACGGGTATGTTTTTGTTATTTCGTCCGTTTTTAGGGAACATATTGTCGATACCATTGTGTTCCTTTTTACTTGATAGGAGTCTATAAATTAATAAAATGATAAGATTAGCGCAGATTCTATGTTTCCGTCATGGTTACTTTCTTCTCTATTGAAAAAAGCAGCTATACTATTTACAAGTTTTCTTGATTCCTCATGTTTCGGTTGAACTTGCTGAGGTTTCTAAATTTGAAAAACTAACGTTAACACAAGCGAAACCATCAAACTGTTCTCAACTACCAAACACTGTGGTAAGCGTATCATCACCCAACACTCTGAGGCGGAAAAATCAGTTCTTGCATAAAGTTCCAACTTTGTTCTTGCCAAGATGAAATCTCAAACAGCTAATGAAATTCATTTTGAAACCTCAAAAATCCTTAAATAATCCAAAGTACGTCACCCCTCACTGATCTACTCTTCGCGTCTCTACGGACCACCAAAGATTCACAAACCAGGAGTACTCCTTTGACCTATTGTCGGCACCATTGGTTCTCCAAAATATGCTCTACTTATATATGTAGCTTTTATATTAAAACACTTCACGAGGATAAACCGATAGTTTCGTACTTAATTCCTTTCACTTCACTTAACAAGTAAGACTGATTTAACACCGCAAAAATCCTTAAAAGATTCAAATCTCGTAAACATAATATTCCAAAGCCTGAACGTATAGCTTTAATCTCTAAAATCTATCGCGACATCGTAGTTCTAAAAGCAGATAAAGGAATGCTACGATGGTCATGATCACAAGTGAATATCAGGAAAAAATTCAAAACGGATGCTATCGTCCACTAAAAAATTAACCCATATCATGTATGGACTGCAATCTTAAATCTGTCAAAGACAAAATTTCGTTTGAGATACCAGGATTTTACAGCATTCCCTGTATACATCGCAAAGAATATATCGCAGAAAAAGGGCGAACACAAATAAGTTTCAGTTAAGCACTGAAGAAACTATCAGGATGATTGGCGAAACATCGGCAACTTTGATTTATCGACAACCGACCCAAGAGGAATATAAATTAAATTGTGGAAGTTTCTTTGAAAAATTAAAGAGACAGCTAATTAAAAATCTTTATTCCGATCATTCCAAGTTGACTTGCTGATACCCAAATTTCTGTTGCGCAGAGAAACGAAAGCTCTTGATTTTCTTGGAGTTGATAGATTAAGTCGCTTTCAATTTGGACAGTCAACTTGAGATTGGCTAGGACATAATGGCTGCAATGTTCATTTTTGCATTACTTGGCAACTTATTCGAGGTATGAGCACTTTAAGCATATTGTCGTAGCGAAAGATATATATAAAAGGTATATAAAAGTATCTGCCATCTCTCTTCAAAGAAAATAGAGACAATTTCATTCGTTTCATATCCCTATTCAACACCCGTCAAGATTAACATCGGTTCTATAGTTTAGAGCTACTTTATTTCAACCTTTGTCCGTTTCTTGGTTTTTAAGTCTTTTTTGATGTAGTTAGTTATTTTAAAATAAGCAATTTAAATAACAAGTGTCCACGAAAATACTAATAACCTGTATATATTAATATTAAGAGTAATAATAATAATTTTGGCAAAAATATTATTAATAATAATAATAAACAGCTTTTGTTACATATATATGAAGCGTGAATTCAGATAAATTTTGTATTTAAATTTTGTTGATACTTTCATAAATGGAAAGATATTCTACCGTAATAAACCTTCCACTCCGTACTCGTTACGATTTGATAAAAAATATAGCTTGCGAAGTATCATCGAGATATTTCGATTAATAAAACTACAAATGTGTTAAAATTAAAAGCCGCAATGAAAATCTAAAAATCAGAAAGCATAAAAGTGAATTATATAAATTATTAATATAATCCATAGGCAACTGTCGAGAACCGGTGTTTCCTTAGCTAATTTTGCGAAGTTATAAAGTTTATCATACAAAATATCGTAATCGGCGACAATGTAAATTTTAATGGCTTGTGGAAGTTCCACTACAGTTATAAAAAACTCATTTATTAAAGCAGTTTGGTTTTGTATGCTTTTATTTTAGGAGGTATAAGGAACGCCAAAATTGCATTATTTAAGTCACAGAGTGCGCAAGTTTTAAGGATAATTAAAAATACTTTCCATTCCATTTTCAATTTAATTCGCTTGATATAAATAAAACAAACATCTTAGTACTTGAAAAAATATGTATAGAGAATGTCCCACTGAGAACCTAGGAGGTACGACATTACGAAATTTATTAAGTCAATCGACCAAGACAAAATGCTTGAAATTATTTTCCCACCAGGGGACGTAATTGTTAGCTTGAATTTTAAAACTGAATTTCTACAAAAATCTTATAGTTAAGAAAAAGTCAAATCTTTTTTGTTTAATGCTCATTGCTCTATCTCTGGCAGGAAGTGGTGGGGGTGTTTGAATATTTATATAATATAAATTGTTATAATATTTACATATAGGATGCCAAACAATATTTAAATTGCACTAAATATTTTACAAATTGGAACTAATGAAAACGGTATTCAGTCAAGAAACATTGACAAGCATCAAACGAAAGATGCCAGCGCTTCGTCAGATAAAAACAAAATTTAATTTCATGGCACACTTGATATTTACCAGTGAATGATTTCCGTCAACTAAGATTTCTCTGAATGGTTTTACACATTTTTCTACATAAAGCATAAAAATGTTATAAAATAATGTTGTCTTCATTACCGACACAATTAGTGATTAAGCGTTAATGGAAAAATAAATGATAATAATAAAACTGCAAAGCATACTAAAACATAAAAACGTTAGCCACGGCGTAATTGGTGCTTTTCGAAGGAATTGTAAAAAAAATAATTATCATAAATTAAGTAATTAACATAAATAGTGATTTTAAATATGATTTGATATAATAAATAGTAAATAAGAGTTTTATTTGCTAAATTCTAGACAATAAAAGCGATTTTTTCAATTATTCAATTTAATTATTTTGTTTATATTTCAGGTTAGGATGAATATATTGAGATACGGTTTTCAATGGCTTGTTGGATCCTTGTTTGACCTTCTAATGACATAAACAAACTCGCATTGTTCAATTTATTCTTTTTTCAGACAATTATTTTTTTGTGATTATATCAGATAAATCTACTCGGTGGCAAAGTAAACACGATCGCATCACTCATTGCACTATTGATTGTCTCAGAAAACCCCTTTTTAATGACTTTAAGTCTATTAAAATGCGTTAAGCATTTTGGGAGATATTTAAGATGTTTCATTTCGATTTCAGAAACACGAACATAATTTCCAGCATTTTTTTTGGGCTAATAGTCGTCTCCTTACTGGGACACCCGGTACATAATACTTAAGTATTGCTGGGTGACTCATATCGATATGCTGTGTCATAAACTATCGACTCTATGTTTTGCTTTGTAGACTAGGGTAAATTACGAACCTCAATGTGAAAGAGTATTCAAGTTGTAAAAACGAGATGTTAACAATATTGTTTGTTCTTCAATGTACACAGACTGCAAAGATATTTGAAACACTCTATTCCTTTTAACTGCACCTGACATTTATATCTCTAATGGTATTGTAAATTGAAAAATGAATGAAGTAGTAGAACTTTCAAAAAATTTGCTTAGAACTTTTTAATAGACAGCTGTTTCCATAGTAGGTATAGATAAATATCTTAACGTGTATGTATTGACTGTAAGATCTGTCCGTCAAGTTTCCTATTTACTAGTAGTTTGGAATAAAGATATTAGATTTGATTTAATTTGAATATTCCAGACCATGTCACTTTTACACTACACACTTCTATAAAATGCATAAACATTCAGTTTATTTAATAATTTGCTTTATTATTTATTATTATTATCAAACCAAGGTAGACTTTTTAAAAGAGTTTAACAAAAATGGCAAAATTTAGATAACAAAAGAATTACTGATAATAACATTCTTTTTTCTTTTCCTTTTTTAATTTTTTGTTTTTGTATGCCATTTTTTAACTTATTATTATTTTTTTTACCAATGAAGACTATTTATTGTTATTATTATTCTAATAAAGACTGGAGTAAATATATCAAATTAATACATAGAATTTTGCATTGCAGATAAGAGGCTACCATTATCTATCGAATTAAAAACTTGTGGAAAACCGTGGCGATGGCGTCGATAGGATATCCGAACATATTTTTTAAATTTTTTCAGATAATTTACCATACGTAAGTACATACGTAAGTACCACTCACCAAATCGTGTAATTCTGATCTAGAATATACATTTGATCGAGATCATTAAATATTTAGTTCAATGAGCGATGAAAAATCATCGCGAGAGTAATTCCGCGGATCAGGACGTCCACGCTAGGTACGTGTGAAGATGGTGAAAGGTTGGAGAATGTGCAACGAGAATTTGATATTAACTATTAATTATGATTTTATTTTCATTTCGAATAAGTGTACATTGAACGACGAGGTTTTAAAAGTTGAATATTAAAAAGCTCTTAGAAAATTATATCATACCCTTCACTATTACGTTATCGGCGAGGAGATGGAAAAATATATTCAGCATTATATGTGGCGGATAGCTAACAACGTAAATCACCTAAGCTAAAAATATACTAGCAAACCGATGGTCCTAGACAAAATTTTCACCAGGGAGGATAATTATTATTTGTTTTATGTGTTTATTTATTTATATACTAACTTAACAGAAATACGTTCATTTACAAGATGGGTGTGAACAACCTACGAAAGTCAATTTTATAATTAATTTCATATTTCAAATAGTTTAGATTTCAGCTTACTAACTGACAATACATGCTATAAAACTCACTCTAACCGGATTTGATTACACAATTACAACAATACTTACTATAAGAGTATGGGTTATTGCCGACTTAAAAATTCTCAAAAATTAGCACATCTTGTAGCATAAACATTAGTAATTCGGGAGCAATGATTATTTAAAAATTTATATCAAAAAATTACACACATATCTTCTGTTTTGTGGAGAATCAATATTGTTTGATTCCATAATGTTCGTCTTCGGTATGTGCCATTGGTATTCACCAGTTCCACGGTAATACAGATACCTTAGAAGAGTATTTTGCACCATTTCAATGTTAAGGCCCCCACAGACGCTCAGTATTTTAATGCATGCCGCCTGTGCAAATCTAATTTGTGCAGGCATATCGGTGCCTTTGTGTGAACGTCCGGTCGACTGCGCAGGCCATTGACCTGGCCTGAGCAAAATTAGACCGTGCTTGAATTTAGCCTGCGCAAACTTGGAAACCTGAGCGTGTGTGGACTCGTTCAGTTGATTTGTTCAGTTTTAAGGTTTATTTAACTTAACACTTAACGTCCTAAGTCCTGGTCCCGAAGTTTTTAACATCGAACTAACAGAAGGTTCCGAAATTTTATCCCGCCCTACTAGTTCAGCCAGTTTCACTTCAAGTACCTCAAAAAAGAAGAAAAGATCAGAAGACTCAACTGACATATTAATATCAAGAGCCTGTGCACAATTAGAAAATAAGGAACACCAATTTGATACTATAGGCAAAACTATAGCCTCAAAAATAAGAAGCTTGCCACATGAGCAACGAATATATGCTGAAAAGATCATTGTTGTTCGAAGCAGAACTAGGATGCTTAAACCCAAATTATAAGTTGGTGCAAGAACCTGCAGCTACAAATTCCAATTGTATGGAAGCCTCTCGTCAACTGATGCCTATGCAATCTACTCAAGAACAATATAATAATATGCAGTCTTCTTATTAACTGCATGTAATGTAACCCTTACTTTCTGCACAACAACACCAATAACTAGAAGGTAATGAAAATTTAGGTACTTTTCTGCGTGGCTATAACCCCGAAGCCGGATATTAATTTGTAGATATGTTTTTCAACCCTTGATTTTGGAATTAACATTTTATGTTTTTGAATTATTGGAATAAAATGTTTGCTTACCTTAATGAAGTCTGTTTTCAATACTTTGAATATGGCTCTGCATGTTTCAGGTATTATTTGTCCCAATGCCTGATGTGAAATTAGTGTTGAAAACTTTAAATCTTCATACCTTCGACCACTAGCGAGAAATCTTAGGGTAGCTGTTAACCGCTCATGGCATGAAATTGATTGACTCATGCATGTGTCTTGCTTTTGTATTAAAGGAGAAACGATTCCTGCTTCCCAAGTTTCAAATCAGCAAGCAATTTGACATGGGAGTAATCATTTCTTTTGAGTATCCAATCTTTGGTCCATTTGCTTCTTTGAACCAACCGTTGCTTTTTTTGCTTTTTCTTTATTGCACAGGCAAGCACAATGCAATATAATGCCGAGTCTCGAGAAGCCATTTTCTTTTAAGTATAGAAAAATCATGCCAAAACTAGTGCTATAAAACTGCGTGTGTGTGGGACAGGCAATAGTACAGTTGAACTGCACAAATTGGCCTGCACAGTTGGCCTGTGCTAAAAAACTGAGCGTCTGTGGAGGCCTTTATATTTATGAGTTTCATAACAAGGATTCCAAATAAAAAACAATATTCAATTATACTTCTTTGTACACTAACTTTTGATAATAGCAGTTTTCAAATATTTATGCTTACTAATTTTATTAATTATTTTTATATTTGAGTAGCAAATCTAACCAAAATTCATCATAATCCAGATATCGATGCATTAGGAACGAAGAAAGCTACCGATTATTTCCATAAAAATACATACTACTTTTTTGGCTTTGGTTAAATGACTAAACACAACTACTAATTAAAAAATTAATGATTGTAATAAATTAATTGAAAACGGGCAAGGACAACAAGTCGTAATAATATCGGCCACTGGGTAATTTGATAAGAACAAAAGGTTTTTTAAAGCAAGTGAAAAATTAAAACTCAATTTTATTCTAATTTTATATATCGTTTGGCAAAATATAACTTTTTGAGCGTAAAATTATTTAAAACCTATTTTACCTAGAATTATATTCAAATGCGACACTTTATTGTTGTTGTTAAGACTAATAATTCAAATCATTGAATTTGTTGTTTTGTCAGAAAATTACATTTTGCGTAATATATTAAAAAGCACCATCTGGCGGCAAGATAACCGTAACAATTGCATCACACACAGCAAGAATGAAGAAGAAACGCCCTTTTTAAAGACTCCAAGTCTATTAAAATATGTTAAGCTTTATTGCAAATGTCGACATTTATTTAAGAAAATATTCAACCTTCCACCACTTTATCACAGCCTTTAAACTTTAACTATTAGAAGCATCACAAATTGACTCATCATAATACTCAGTTTCTCTAATACCTTACTTCGATGGCATTTCTAGGACACCCAGAATGGAAGGTGGGACAGAATGCCAGATCAAGCCGTTAATGACAGGTTTTTCTTCCATTTTGCGCCCCTATAATAAGGGGCGTTTAACTTTATAAAAAAAAAAACAAATTTTAATTTAAAAATCTCACACTTTTTCACAAATCTTGTTGAAACTTGGTATGTTTATTTATATTATTAGATTACAGTTCATATGCCTATAAACTAACATAAGAAATTAGTATCTTGTACCCAATATATTCCCCCAATGTTATCAATTCTACGCCTATGGCCTTAGAATATATTTTGTTGAACATGCACAGATTAAAATAACAACAGAGAACCTGGCTTCATATTTTTCCCTTTTTTGTCAAAATACATGCCAATAATACCAGTTCTATTAATACTGCATCTTTAAAAAAGTTTCACGAACAACAGTCTACACTTGCAATTTCCAATCCAAAATTGTTACCTAAATTAAATAAGAGAAAAAAATGCAAATCAAGATGTTTAATAAAACCAAATCAATGTTTAAGGCCATAGGCGTTTTACCAAAAAAATTTGAACGGTTAGGAGGTACATCCTCCTGCTGGTATGTTATTTTTATTTTCAAAATTTATACGAAAAGTGTGTCCCAACTGGTCAATTATACACCACATCAACTTTGAACAAAATATTTGAAAAACTGTCAGAATTATAAATAAAAATATTATTTAAAAAAGGACATCCTGTATTATAAATGACCTAAACGAAGTCCTAATGTTTGACCATCTTTCTTTGACTCACCTTGTATAAGGTCTTTAGCTCAACTTCGTTTTTTTTTCAATACCAAAGTACACTTATTATTGCTATATTATTTTACCGAAAAACTGAGATTAAGGGTATTTACAAAGGCTTTGTATCGTTCCCGCGGGTTATCGGATAATACAAATTATTAAATCCCGAAGGGACATACCTTGCATTTCTAAATTTTTGTCTCAATTCATTTATTCAACGGAATCCACGTTATTAGGTTTGAATCATCAGGAATAATAATTAAAATTAAGTTGTATTTATTTCAAATCAATATTGCTTATAAGGTTGAAGCAATTAAAAATATTTAAAAATTCAATTCAAAAATAGCGAAATCATAGCATATAAGAATAGAATTCATCCTAGACTTCTAAATAAACTGAATAATATTCTATATTAATATATTCTATATTCTAAATTATAATATTATTTTGACTAAATATTAGGTAGTATTTGAAATGTTTTATTATGCAATATTTGCATTTTCTCAAAGCCAACAATTTATATTACAGCATTGACTGTTTGTTTAGTTAAACCCAATGTACTTATTTTTGTCAATATTTATCTTTAATTTGTTATAATATACTCACTTATTATAAAGGCCAAGTCCTCAGATTGTTTAACCTGAATATCACGTTGAATTAAGAAATGAACATGTTATTAATTAAAAAAGTATTCTGAATGTTTTGTTTTTTATTATTGGCATTTTCTCACAACAATACATTTTTGTAAATATTTATCTTAAATTTGTTGTAATATAGCCACCTATATCATATTCTAAATCCTTTTATTTATTTAACTGAATTTTACGCTCAATTTAAAAATAATTGATCTTCTAGAAGTAAGCAAGTTCTACTTTTTACAAAACTTCTGGATTCCTCCTGCTTCGGTTTTTGCTGAGTCGAACTTGCTGACGTTTCGCCAATCATCCTGTTGGCTTCTTCAGAGCTTGCTTAAAACTGTTTCTGAAGAACGAAACGTTAGCAAGTTCGATTTAGCAAAAACCGACGCAGGAGGAATCCAGAAGTTTTGTAAAAAGTATTACAGTAGCCTGTGGACGTTTCTTTGAAAAATTAAGCAAGTTCTAGTTAAAAAGTATTTTTAGTATTTTTATTATATATTACTTGCATTTTTTCAAAGCAATCAATTGTTATTTCAGTATTAACTATCTGTTTAGTTTTAGGGATTAAATTTGTTGTAAAATAACCACCTATTACAAATTTCAAATCCTTTTATTGATTTAACTGCACATTACGTTTAATTTAGAAACAATTGATCTTCTAGAAGTAAGCAAGTTATGGTTAAAAAGTATTTTGTTTGTTTCTACATAAACTATTTCTTTAGTTTTAAGGATCATGTACTTACTTTTGGCAACATTTATTTTAAATTTGTTGTAATATAGCAACTTATTATAAATTCAAAATCGTCATATTGTTTTAATTGACTTATGCGTTCACTTTAGAAATATTTTGATTTTTATATATTTAATCTCCAGAAGTAAGTATTTTATAGTTTATTGTATTATACCCACTTATTATAAATTCCAAATCCTTATATTCTTTTAACGGAATACTATGTTTAATTTAGATATAATTGGTCTTCTAAAAGTTCGCAAGTTATAGTTAAAAAATGTTTTGAGTATTTTATTATGTAATACGTGCATTTTTTCAAAGTCATAAATTTTTATTTCAACATTAACAATTTGTTTAGTTTTAAACACCACGTATTAAGATAAATTCCATATCCTTATATTGTTTTAGTTGACTATTGCGTTCAATTTAGAAACATTTTTATTTTTATATATTTAATCTCCAGAAGTAAGTATTTTATAGTTTATTGTATTATACCCACTTATTATAAATTCCAAATCCTTATATTGTTTTAACTGAATAGTACATTTAAGTTAGATATAATTGGTCTTCTAAAAGTACGCAAGTTATAGTTAAAAAGTGTTTTGAGTGTTTTATAAGTAATACTTGCATTCTTTCAATGACATCAATTTTTATTTCAATATTAACTATTTGTTTAGTTCTAGTTCTTGCAAATTATATTGTTTATATTGTTTTATCTGAACATCACATTCAAATTAGAAACACTTAATCACTTAGAAGTAAGCAAGTTATAATAAAAAGATGTTTTCAGTATTTTATTCTATGTACAACACTTGCAGTTCCTCTGTAATTAATTTTTACTTTATTGTGAACTATTTGTTTAGTTTTAAAGACCATGTATTTATTTTTGTCAATATGTTAATTCTAAATCCAGATTTACCTATTCTATCGATTCATACTCATCCCTACTCTTATAGACAATATCTTGCGATTAGATTGGCACATCTTAACATATAACATATAACGAGTAAAGTAACTAGCCGTATGATACCATATAACCATTCGAGAGCTTATTATTAATTGTATCATCTAATTGAACATACTGGCGTCTGTCTGTTTTAAACAGCTACCTTTGAAATCCATGGCAATGCAACTTTATTAAGGTCTATACTAACCCCGCCAAAATAATTTTATAAATCCGTGAATATCGCAACCACAATTTCTGGAGTATAACAAGAAATTTTGTCACTTTAAAAAAAAAATCTGTAAGCATTCAATATGGCAATCCTGCATCGACGCAAATTTGTTCTATGATTTTTTACCTTTTCCAAATCCCCTAGCTCATCTCCCTTTTAAAAAGCACTAATAGTTATCAAATCACTGACACTTTCACCAAATAATCCAGTTGTATGTGCACCGAAAATAATAAATTTCAATTAGTTGCTTGTAACAGCTTCATTAGTGGTTGTTTCTTATTGATATTTACAAACAAACCAACGCAAAATAGTTCAACGCTCTAAGAATACGCAAGAAGTCGCGGTAAACAGTCGAAAAAGCACGTGATTGCTGTGGCAACCGACAGACAAGTGCGTACCGAACGCGCCAGCAAGAAGTCGACGGTATTCTTTCTTGGTGAGAGCCAGGAGGAAGGAAGAGTGGCGCAAGTGCCTGCTAATGGTCAGTATTGTCTCGTTTAGGAAAAAACTGCTAATATATGAGACGATTTAGAACGGACACTTTTCTTCGGCGGGCGAATGAACTTTGGATGTACTAGGTGTTCCAGTAGGGAAACGGACAGAAATTTGAAAATAATTTTTATTGACTAAGTCAGCCAGGAGAAAGTGCTGAAAATATATGTTTTTGAGTGTCAGAAATGGATACAAGGGTTCGTAATTTGTATCTGCAATTTTAAAAATGAGCTTCTACAAAAATATCTTCAAGCTGGACGAATTAAAATCTATAATAAAGAAACACACAAAAATGCAGATTATTGTTATTAGTATTATTAAGTATAGACTCAAGTATTTCAGGACACAAACTGAATTATTGTTTTTTAACTTCTTGCTGTGGTTGGAAGTTTAATAAAAAGGAAATAGTAATTTTATTTGTATTATTCGTATTATCGTGTATCGTATATTTTAACTAAAAAGGAAAGAAAAGGGCAGGAAAAAAGAAGCATGGTTCTTTGTTGATATTTTAAGCTTAGCCTGTATATTCAGCTAAATATACAGGGTGATTCACGGTTAAGGTACCTTAGACTTTTCGGCGAACAGTATATTGGATTGTTCCGAAAATATTTCTATTGCTGCGACATTGCTTCTTTTTTATGGGTCATATACATAATCTTTAGTGGTTTTTCAGAAATTTTGGATGTTGGTTAGGAAGGTACTGTACATTATTTCTCAATAACGAAATTATTTCTATATCACACAGGGTTGGACAAAACTAATTTCAAACTAAAGTTCATTTTTTTAAATCTATATTATCACAAATTCTAACAGGAAATTAAATTCCTTTTCGAATGATGATTAAATTCCCTATGCCTAAATCGTTTAGTTTCGTAAATAAGAGCAAGTTTCTCAGATAACTGGATTACTTTGGCATAATTCGTCTTTTAGATGGCCATGAAATATCCGTCTTATGTTAAGTAATTAATTTTCTGTTTGACACTTCAATAATGATTTACTCATTATTGGTTGTGGTGCAAATATTGTCTATAAAATTGGTTCAAAATGGAAGAAAACCAGTATTCTAATGTTGTCTTGATGAATTTGTTTATTAGGCATGGACCTCATTAGAGCCAGAACAATTATTGAAATTTATTGAAACAAATCTTGATTTACAACAGATGAACAAGAGAAAACTCGCCAGAATTAATAAAAGCTATTCAAACCATTTGACGAAAAATATTTTAATTACTACAAAATATGAGGCCCTTAAAATGAAAATGGCAAACAGAAAAATTAATCCAATTTTTACAAAATGTATTCGAGGTGTTTACCATTACATTCTAAACACTTTAAAAACCGTTGAAGTGGACTGTTTGGGTTGAAGTTGAAGTAGGCTTCTTTATCTCCGATAGATCAATTTGTTCAGCATCGTACCGTCCGATGACATAATTCTCCTTGGCTCTGCAACGGTGTCAAATAGACACGTGACTTTAACCCACCCCATAGATAAAAATCTTATAACGTCAAAGCCAATGGTCATTAAATAATTCGAATAATTCTCGTGACAACTCTTCAGAAAATCACTTACTATTGTCCTTAATATTAAAATTTAAAGATACTTTGCAGCAATCAACAATCATCTGAATCTTTTGCAGCATGAGGATTATCGACAGACCAAAAGTGTTTATTCCTTGGATTGAAAATACCCTCTTCTATTTCCCAAAAGGACACTCTTAGTATAATCGTCAACATTCAGGGTCTAACCTTTGGTAAACGTAAATGGATACATCTACCAAAATTCTATAAACGGGGCTGCTTGCAATACCCAAGTTATCTGCTGCTCTACAAATCGAACAATTTGGATAGGCATGTGAAGTAACACGTTTTGGTAAATATGGAGATACCCATTTTTCGAAACATAGTTTATAAAATTTTTCTTAAGTCTTGCAAATATTCTCTTGTTCATATGTTGTAAGTCATATACCTAAATCATATACGTTTCGTTAAATGTTCTGCATGTTCTGGCTACAATGTGGTTGCATTGTCTTTGGATAACAAACAACTTCATTAAAACAGCATTGAAAAACTTGTTTCCTTCCATTTTGAACCGATTTTATGGACAAAATTTGCACCACAATCAATAAAGCGAAAATCTTTATTAAACTGTTGAATTGAAAAGGAATTATTCAACACTGGCCACCTAAAAAATGAATTGTTATTAATTATTTTCAGTAATTCAGTTTTTAGAGAAACTTTCTTTCATTTCAGACACCAAGCGATTTAGGTATAGGACAAGATACATCATTCGAAAGAGAATTTAATTTTCTCTTAGAATCTGTGGTAATATACAATGTGTTTCACCATTTTTGTATCTGTTAAGCAACTCATTAGTTTTGAGCTACCCTGTATAATGCAGAAGTGATCTCTATATTAAGAAATTCTGTTCGATAACTCCTCAAGCTATGTAAAAAAAATTTTTAGTTTGGACTGGCTCCAGTGTCGTGGTAATGAAAATTTAAATGAAGCCATGTTTTGGTTGGATTATGAACAAAATAATTATTTTCTCGAAAACCACTGAGGATAGGAACGTATTTTTTCAAAACAATCATAAAGTATTAATGGAACATGGTATCCTAGGGTGTATGTATTGCACTTTACAGAAGGCAATAAATTTAATTATTTAACAATTTATTAGTACAATGATATTATAAAAATTTAAGTAAAGAGTATAAGAAACAACGAACTGTAAAAAGTTAGCCAATAGTAATATAAAGATTTTCATCAGGTGATATTCCAATTCATGTTAGAATAATAACAATTGAGACGAATATTGAAAACTCGGAATAAATTGCGTGCCTTATAATTCATTATGGCCGCATGTCATCACTCCCTCCTCTAGAAAAGCCTTGTACTCTCGAGAAACTACAGTATCCCTTTCATGAGGAGTTTCGATAGATCCTCGGCCTGAGGTAATTGATATGTAGTATAACCACTTATTTTTTCAATAAAAATTAATTTTAATCACAACTCGGTTACTCCAGTGTGATGTCTTGTATCTTGTGTACTTACTGTGTTTCTATAAAACATAAGACTTTTCCAGTGACTTCATTATTTTATTGTCTCAATATTTTCATATTTTGAACATAATGTCATGATAGTATCAAAATGATTAATGGCGACTAAATGTTTTTTTTTACAGTTGACGGGTTTAAGGTGTAAAATGTGAAAAACCATTAAAAAAATGAATAAAACATCTATTTTGAGTTTTCCGCTTGATACCGTTTGCTCTATCTCGGCAAGGAAAATGGTAGGTGGTGTTTTAATATTTTTTCCTGATTTCAAAAACCTAGAGTTTATAGACATTTCATTTAGCTGTTTTTGAGATATTTCAGTTTAAAAATAAATATCATTCGACTTGACAATGTTTAAAAATGGTCAAGTCTACCTTGATAGCAACCATATTATCTATGTTTGGAATTGTTTTAGCAATGTTCTACTTTTGACAACTCATCAAAACTAAATATCTGCAGCGTAAGTTAAATAACTTTAGATATTTCAAATGGGTTATACTGACTAAGAAAAATCAAACTCTTGACTGGAACTTCGGCACTGCACTAACACACAATAAGTTTTACCACAAACCGAAACTCAATTTTACGTACTCGACGCGCGTTTCGCCAACCAAGTTGGCGTCTTCAGGAGAAGATTAAAACTAAACTTAATAGAACAAAAGTGTAGCCGAACATATGTTTAACAATAATCATAAGGTAGATATAAGTAATTTAAAATTAGTTAAACATGTAAATAATAGTAGAAAATTAGATGCCTACGAAAACTTAGAAATTGTTAAGAGAGGGAATAAGGCACTGAACAAGGACAGAGGTCCAATCCCATTTAGCCCAATATTACGCGCTGAATGGGAGCATTTGTTATATTAAGTTTAGTTTTAATCTTCTCCTGAAGGTGCCAACTTATTATAAGTTCAAAATCCTCATATTGTTTTAATTGACTTATGCGTTCACTTCAGAAATATTTTGGATTTTATATATTTAATCTTCAGAAGTAAGTATTTTATAGTCTATTGTATTATACCCACTTATTATAAATTCCAAATCCTTATATTGTTTTAACTGAATACTATGTTTGATTTAGATATAATTGGTCTTCTAAAAGTTCGCAAGTTATAGTTAAAAAGTGTTGTGAGTATTTTATTATGTAATACGTGCATTTTTTCAAAGCCATAAATTTTTATTTCAACATTAACTATTTGTTTAGTTTTAAACACCACGTATTATGATAAATTACATATCCTTATATTGTTTTAATTGACTATTGCGTTCAATTTAGAAACATTTTAATTTTTATATATTTTATCTCCAGAAGTAAGTATTTTATAGTTTATTGTATTATACCCACTTATTATAAATTCCAAATCCTTATATTGTTTTAACTGAATATTACATTTAAGTTAGATATAATTGGTCTTCTAAAAGTGCGCAAGTTATAGTTAAAAAGTGTTTTGAGTATTTTATTAAGTAATACTTGCATTCTCTCAATGACATCAATTTTTATTTCAACATTAACTATTTGTTTAGTTCTAGTTATCAAAAATTGCAAATTTGCAAGGTCTAGAAACAACAGGAGGCAATTCTTCCCAACGGTTTCATTCCAGATTATGAACATATCGTCAACACGTCGAAGCAAGACCCTAGGTTTAACAATTTCTGCATCTATAGCGTCAGAGAGGAGAATCCATCGTTAAGCCATCATCCTAAGGAGCTTCATCAATCTCTCCACGGATAATGAACTTCTGCCTACAATTGTTGTATCCTTTCTCAATCTGCTCTCGACAAAGTCTAACGATTCTTTCAACGGCACGTTTAAACTTTCCACGTCAAAGCTAACAAACCTATCCGGAAGACATAACCTTACGCTTACCAAAATATGTACCAAACGCCCGGAGTCTTTTACAAATCAAACAGTTTTTTCCCACAGGTGACTGGACAACTTGAAGGAAAAATCTTCTGGCTGATGATTGCGGAATCCTCGGAAATGATGATTGGTCTGAGTGGAACATTATCTTTGTGAATTTTTGGAAGTCTATAAAGATCACTCGAATAGCAAAACAATACAAAGTTTAGACTGTATTCAAGGGAAGAACAACATTAAAGAGCATACTTAAAAAAGTAAAGCCAGAAGCTTCGATTCAAGTATCTACGACATACCCTGTAAATCGGAGAAACAAAAAAACTTTTACACGTTAGAATTGAAGAACATAGGAAAAGATCAGGGATCACGGAACAGGTATGGACCGACATCACAACACCAAACGCATTAAAAACAATAAAAAACCATTAACAGAGCGCAACAATGTTGGCGCACTAGCCGAACAACTTCTTCCCATTCAAATCTTATCTTCTCTAATTGGAAATAACTTGCCTATGCCTATTGTGTGTTGTGATAAGAATTTTCCAGCACTGAACTGTCTTATAAGCATCCGACAATCTGTGCATTCGCAATTTCCGTAGCAAACCGATTAATGAGTCACTAAATACCCAACGAGAGAGGCTTACTTGTCGAGTACATATAACTATTTCGTTAGTTTTGATTAGTTTGCATGTCGCAATTTTTTTCCAGGATCAGATCAGAACCAGACCAATACAGAAGCCAAAAACAGAACTCATAACAAGCACATATGACGATAATGTCAATGGGACAGCTTCTCGAGCTTAGAGCCTCGAGGTGATAATCACTGGGTGGTTAGGAGACTGGGAGTAGGCTAAAGAGGGATAGCAGGTATACTCGGGCTTGCACCTAGAAAACCGAGGAATCCTACACTACCCGGGGAGAATCTGGCGTCTATAAAACTTTTCTACCTGCCACAAAACAAGCTTTGGTTAGTTTTGCTTGGTTTTGATTACTTTTGGTGAGTTTTAGTTTGTCGTGCTACGTGATCATTCAATAATGTAAAAACGAGTGAAGTGGGTCTCGTAATACTATGTCAATCACCTCGCTTTTGAAACTGCAAATTGATGCTTACTTATACCATAACGATAAAGGTAACATCGGCTATATGTTATGTGAAACCATACCTAGCAAAATATGCAAATTCCGGGTTCTACTAAAGCCGAGGGGAATTATGTATTTAAAATATTTTCGAGATTGCCAGTGTTCCGGTAATACCAGAAATGAGTGTCAACTTGTTTAGGAACATGTGCAGAAAAATTATTTACATGGTCTTATTTCTGAACCATCTTGTATAACTTAGAATTAATTATCTTTAAACACTAAAACCATATTCACGCACAGTTAAGAGAATCACTGTAATTTTCAAAAAATCTCTAATCAAAAATCTTGTCAGCTTTATGGCCAGTTGTTATATGTGCAAATCGAGCCCCCAGCATCTGAGGAAATCAAATTAAGTTAGAGGTTTTTTTTTTGGATTAATGTGACAAAATATACAAAACGAAGACGCGGATGTGCCGGGCGAATTGATACGGCGTAAAATCATTTACGAGATTGCCGTGTGCAAACATTACATTTTTCGTTTAGGAATGGTATTAGTCCAATAAATAAGGTAATCCATTTACTAATTCTGTCAATTATTTTACAGTTAATTTAATTAATACATTGAAATTTTCTTAATAATCTCACGGGCCAATAAATTTATTTTTCTAAAGCGATTGGCGACGACGCGACGTGTAAAATGTTGAATTATGAGTTCGCATATTGCGTAAATTAAAAGCGGCTAACTACTTACCGCTTATCGGTTTATGGCTGAAACACTCGAACGCTTTAGGGAGAAGAATATTAAGCGGAATGCAGCGACAACTATTCGAAATAACGAATTTTGAAAGATGTTTTTTTTTTTTGGAACGTTTCGCACCGATATGCAAGTTTCCACATAGTTATAAACATTGTTAAATAACAACATTGTTAAGAATTTCAACCCCAATAAAAAATATATATTACACTAGCTGACGCGGCCGATTTCGTACTGCCTCAATTGATAAATAAAAGATCTAAACTTCTGTATAACATAATCTTAAAATAAACAAAACGAATCATGCATGAAGTTTTATTATTATTTTCGACACATCATGTTGCTTACTTGCAAAACAGAGTTTTCCTGAAATACTTGCTATTTATAACGTATAAATTTGATATTGACAGACAGACACTGTTATGATACAGTGTGTTAATCAATTTAAAGCTGTCCCATAAACTATATTTTTTGTTTTCTTTTGTTGCGTGTACATAAAAAAGAAGACGCGCGAACATATAATTGTCCATGCGTGAGACAGAGAAACTGTAAGTTCAAAATAAATAAGAACTAAAAGTTCAGATTTTCACGAAATTATATATTATGACATGACAATTTTTTGGACAACGCCGTGTCTTTATCAAATGTAATATTAACAAACTACCTGCTACTATAAATACCGAAAAATGACCATAAAACCTTAATTAATGTTGTTGTGAGAACAATAAAACGAAATGTCCAAAATCCCAAAAATCAGGTGTCTACAGGTTGAAATATGGATCCTGTCCTAAAATTTATATTGGACAAACAGGTAGATCCTCCAAGAAACGGATTAACGAACATAAAAGAGCGTTTGAAAACAATAGTTTAGATTCTAATTATGCTACACACTTAAACACAGAAAAACACATTTTTGACGACAATTTTGATATTTTACATAAAGCCACAAAAAGTAGAAAATTAAATTTATTTTAAGCCATGAAGATTAACAAAATCAGACATTCAAATGTAATGTAAAACCTTAATTAATGTTGTTGTGAGAACAATAAAACAAAATGTCCAAAATCCTAAAAATCAGGTGTCTACAGGTTCAAATGTGGATCTTGTCCTAAAATTTATATTGGACAAACAGGTAAATCCTTCAAGAAACGGATTAACGAACATAAAAGAGCGTTTGAAAACAATAGTTTAGGTTCTAATTATGCTACACACTTAAACACAGAAAAACACATTTTTGACGACAATTTTGATATTTTACATGCAGCCACAAAAAGTAGAAAATTAAATTTATTGGAAGCCATGGAGATTAACAAAATGAGACATTCAAATATATTGCTTAACTATCAATTAGAACTTAAATTCTCAAAACAACATTAATTAAGGTTTTATGGTCATTTTTCGGTATATATAGTAGCAGGTAGTTTGTCAATATTACATTTGATAAAGACACGGTGTTGTCGAAACAATTGTCATGTCATAATATATAACTTCCTGAAAATCTGAACTTTTAGTTCTTATTTATTTTGATAAATGGATTTTCATCAAGTAAAAGCCACCTCAGTTCAAACTCTAAGTTGATTACGCAAATTTCTAACGACTGTCCTTCCGATTTATTTATGGTCATCGCAAAAGCCAGACTTACTGGAAATTGTAAGCGTTTAAAATCCAATGGCAATCCAAAGACATCCTCTTCTTTGTATTTTCCTTTTATGATTGTTGGCTCAATGCCGTTATTCATCAGCTTTTTTAAAGCCAGTCCTGTCCCATTGCACAGTCGTGGTTGATTAATGTTGCGGAGCATGATGACAACTGATCTTTTAACTGCAAATTGTGAGGTGGTAATCCAGACAATTCCAGTGAATTCAAAAACTCCATGGGATGGTTGACAACGTCGTCCTGGTTCATAACGGTGCCGACAGATTTGAAGGAAACCAACTGTCCTGGAAGAAAATTCTGAATGGTCGCGTTGAGATCCTCGACATCTTCATTTTTCGCCGCCAATATTGCGCGTTCAATTGCTCAATTTGAACTTTTGCGCTATATCTAGGAAAACACGCTGAATCAGCTCCTCTTTTGAGTCAGTGATGTAACAGAAATCTGTAGAGGTGCCAGCTGCAACTTTATTCTTACCAATGACAACAACTGCTTCGCATTTGCAGTTTAATCTTGTTGCAAAAATATTCGCGTGTTAGTTGTTAAATCATACTGTCACAAATTCGATGATTTTAGGGATGCATTTAGTTCACCAACAACAGTTGATAGTGGAATAACTGGAAGAGTATGACGAAAATCACCTGACAACAGAATCATGGCCCCCAAAAATATTTTGGTTGTCACAAAGATCTTTCAACGTTCTGTCCAGTGCCTCCAGTGACCTCTTATGAGCCATTGTGCATTCATCCCAAACAATCAATTTGCATACCTGTAGGATCTTGGCCATTGCGCTATTTTATGCGATGTTGAAAATTGGTGTTTCGGTGATTTGCATGTTTAATGCTAATTTCTATGCTAATGGCTAGAACGATGACAGTACCAAGATAAACAGAAATATGTATAGTAGTGGGCAAAAAAATGAAGGTACCAGAGGTTGTGCGCAAGAAAGATGACAGTGCATAGCAAATGGCGACGGCGTAAACAATGCATGTAGTTCAGTTCTTAGTTATCAACCTGTTTTTTTTATTTTTATTGGTGTAATTATTGATTATTCTGTTTTCAAAGTTTTGTGGTGTATTTTTGTGGTTGAATAATGGCTGAGAAACAAAAAACAAGGAAAAGAAAATCCTGTGGACGAATGCAGGATGTAACTAAAAAGTTACGCTTAAGTAGTCATCAAAGTGGACAAGCAAATATCCAAAACTTAAATGTTTCTAAAATCTCAATGCAGCCGATTTAAGGTACGATCGTGTCCAAGTTTAATCAACTAAAAAGTTATGATGAACAATCCCTTTAACTGAGTGATTTAATAACTTGTAACACGCCATCTCCCAGGAAATCTCAAGAAGAAGCTGATTTTCATTCATTTTCGCATACTTATAAGGTGAGATTGTTGAAAAACAACGAACTTTGTGAAATTCCAGTGTACTATACAGCTTTTTTAGCTTTACATGGCATAACTGCAAAAAGGCTACAAACTACACAAAGTGGATTGAAACCAAATTGTTCAGCGCCATTAGATATGCGAGGAAAGCACTCTCCCAGACCTAACCAAGTTTCTAGAGAAGTAACAGATTCGATCATGGAACACATTAGATGTTTTAAGAGTAGAAAGTCTCACTATAGCTTGGCTAAAACAACAAAGGTTTATTTACATGCTGAGCTCAATATTAAGAAAATGTAATCTATGTACCAAGAAAAAAAACCTGATAAATTAGTTTCTTATGAAAAATATAGAGAAATATTCAACACGAAGTTTAAAATTGTCTTTGAGTACCCACGATACGATACCTGTAGTACATGCGATGAGTTTAAAGTAAAGATTGTACGAAATTGAAAAAAAAATCAAATTGCAGATGATCACAATGCACTGCTGTTACATACAGAACTGCGAAGCCTGCAAGTTGAAAAAGAAGTACATTTAAAAAGAGCAGACACCTTTTATAAACATGAAAAACCTGTTAGGCTTGAGACTCAAAAAGACAAAACCTAGGAAGCTATTGTAATAAAATGTTCATCTGCCGAATATTACAACTAATGACACGTATTATCGTAGACAACTTTCGTTCGACAGGTTCAACATACATGTAATTTCGACCTCTGAAACTCTTTTCTATACTTATACTGAAGTTTCAGGAAAAAAGGGTGCTGATGATGTTTCTTTACTGCTATGGGATTACATTTTTAACCATCTGGATTTTGATGTCAAGAAGCTTACAATATTTTGTGATTCATGCTGTGGACAAAATAATAATTTCCCGGTGTTTAGAATTTTACATTATATTGTTCACTTTGTTAAAAGACTTAACATAATCGAAATAGTTTTTCCTGTTCGTGGACTTTCGTATCTAGAATGCGATAGAAATATGGTGAAACAGAAGACATACGTTGAACTGCCTCAACAATGGAATGCTGTTTTCAGGGATGCCCGAACAAAACCAAGTCCTTTCAAAGTTATGTCTTGTGAAGATCAGTCCATTTTTAAGTGTTGAGCCAAATTTCTAGCGGAT